ACCTGGACTTTTTAAACCTCCAGTCTTAAACTAGAAGAAAACAGAGTCTGTTTGAATGGGTGACTGTTGAAGCTAAATAATTTCTAACACTTCTTTTACCTCCATCAATGTATACTGTCACAGAGTTAAGCAGCAGCTGTTGCCATAACAGGCCTTATTACCTCCAAGTGCTGCTTCAAGGTACTGAACAAGAAGGTGTAAATACATCTGTCTTCTGCTATTTGTAGTTCTACTGGCCTCCTGTATGTCTGGCAGTGAGACAGATGGTCCTTGACACTGCACAGGATTTCAGGCACATGTATTTGCAAAAGTAAGAAGGCAGATGTTGAATATGGTAACAACACGTTTTGTCCCCTTAAGGTTTAAGTTGAGCCATCTATCTCAATTTGGATATTTAATTACTGGATCCTAGAAATCTTTGCTTTAGAAATATAGCACTTTATGGTTATTTTATGAGTATGTACAAAATACCTAAGACATAGACCAAATAAAAACTCATCTAACCTAAGTATATAATTTTACCAACTATATTGTCAGGCATATTGAAAACAGAATATAATTTACCTGTCTATAAGTGGGTCACTCTGTGTTTTCTTTCTACATAATCCATGCCAAATACTTATTGTTGATTTTATTTTCAAAATACTAGGAAAGGAGTTTTATAAAAGCAAACTTTGAGTAAATGAGAATTTCCAGAATGAAAAGAGATACACAGAAAATGAAAACTCTCATGTGCTCATCACCCTGTGACATTAATGGAGCCATCATATTTCTCAGCAAATACAATAAAACTTAATGCCAATAATTAATGCAAATTAGCTAACTCCAGTTTTGAGAATTTGTCATAGTAAAAAAAAAAAATTAATAAAATATAGCCTTTAGAATCAAATAGGATGAAAGCTAATGGGATGAAATATTCTTTGAGATTTGCTTCAAAACTCAGCGTATGGCAAAAATGAAAATTCATAGAATATATTTGGTTCCCACAAATCAAATATTACTTTTGAAGAGGCAAAATACATGTATTTTAGTGAAAATGTTAAATTTTAAGATAATCAAGCCATGTATTATATTCTGAAAACTTTATGACTAAATGCTGAGATGACTTATAGTAAAAGAATGAAAAGTCAATAGGAGTTTTGCAGAAAAGTCAATAGGAGTTCTGAGTATAATCAACAAACACATCAGAGAATGGCTTATGGCAGCGGTCCCCACCCTTTTTGGCACCAGGAACTGGTTCATGGAAGTTTCACCTCAGATTATGAGGCATGAGATTCTCATAAGGAACATGCAACCTAGATCCCCCACATGTGTAGTTCACAACAATAGGGTTTGCACTCTTATGAGAATCAAATGCCGCCACTGATCTGACAGGAGGCGGAGCTCAGGCGGTAAAGCTCACTCACCTGGTGTTTGCCTCCTGCTGTGAGGCTCAGTTCCTAACAGGCCAGGGAATGGTACCAGTCCAAAGCCCAGGGGTCAGGGACCTCTGGTTTAAGGATACTGAATCTTGTAATCCAGCAAGTCAAGTATAAGTTATGGCTGACCACTATCAACAAACTCTTACCAGTCACTGCACTCTATATTAATAGGAAGGAATTAAAAAATAGTAGATGGGGAGGGAATAAAGGAATAGTAGGCTGAGTAATTTGTAGTACACTAAAGCTATGCCACAAGTAGGAAATTCATTCTAGACAACAGTTAAGTGGAATCGAAGAAACTAATGAAATACGTTCAAGATTTCTTCTTTTGATAACTGTACTACAGTTATATAAGACAATGTCCTTGCCTTTAGAAATTACACATTGAAGTATGTAGGCATAAGGGTATATTAAGTCTGCAACTTATTCTAAAACAATTAGGAAAAACATAACATGTATACGTAGGCAGAGGGAGAGAACATGAATGATGTGTTAGTGTATATGCAGGCAGAGGGAAAGAATGTGAATGATAAGGGAAATAAGTTGATCTATTAACATTTGGAGCCAGGTGCAGTGGCTTGTGCCTGTAATCCCAGCACTTTGGGAGGCCAAGGTGGGCAGATCACTTGAGGTCAAGAATTCGGGACCAGCCTAGCCAACATGATGAAACCCCGTCTCTACTAAAAGTACAAAATTTAGCTGGGCATGGTGGTGTACCTGTAATCCCAGCTACTAGGGATGCTGCGGCAGAAGAATTGATTGAAACTGGGAGGCAGAGGTTGCTGTAAGCCGAGATCGCATCACTGTACTCCAGGCTGGGAGACAGAGCAAGCCTCCATCTCAAAAACACAAAATGCAAAACAAAACAAAAAATTGGGGAATTTGGTATACAAGAATTCTTTTGACTAGTCTTACAACATTTCTGTAAGTTTGAAACTATGTCACAAAAAATGTAAACCTAGTACTCATTGTGGGAAGAGTATAAATTATTCTCTCTCAACACTTCAATATAAGGCATGCGAAAAAGAATTTGAAACCATGGCAGAAATAAAATGGTATGAATTGAGATACAAAGCCTAGTCAACAATATGATACAAGTATCTTAACTAACACTCATTTCGAAGCACATAAAATAACTCAAATAATACTTCATTTATTAATAATTATTTAACTGTTCATAATGCAACAGAATACATGCTCTAAAAATCTGAGAACGGAGAGCAAATTTTTGTAAGAAAGGAAACATAAGAATTATAAATTCATAATGTGTGGTAATACAGGAGGACACCAAATGACTAGTAGTTTCTATTCATCTTAGTGCAAAGAAAAATTGGGTAGTAAGAGAGAGACAAAGAGAGCAAGAGATTTTATCTTCTTATGGAAAATTTCAAATACTACATAAAAATGTAGACTCACTTCCTACCTTTCCCCATAAATATTATGAATTAAATTCTAACATCATATCATTTTATGCACTAAACTTCAGTTACTATTTCGGAGATATATTTGGAGAAGCTCATTAGAAAAAGAGAGCTAAATCTTTGCATTCTAAAACAGGACAGCTCTTATGTTAAAATTAAATAAACATACACCAGAAACAAAGCACCAGAATATGCTTTTATGACTCCAGGAGCCTTTTGAATCTTCTTAAATTTCCCTCACTCTGAATATAAAATTAAATTACAGAGAAACAATTTTGAGGATGGTTTCACTTAGATTCAGGAAAGACAGGCTAAAATTTGTAAGTGCTTTGGAGAATTGTACAATGCTGGAGTGAATCAAGATGATACAATTATGTACTGACTAACTTCAGTAAGTAAAAAAGAAACTTTAAAGTTATGATTCCAGATTTAGTCCTATTTTTATTTGATTCTACATCCCAGGAATGTAATATACAATGAAAAAGTAACCTAATTGTGAATATAAAGAACATAACCACTTCACTATTCACAGCCATTATTCTTATTTTAAAATAAACTGAGGAAGAGAGAAGAAAAAGTTGAAATACAATTTAAAATTATACTTTTACTGGACACAAAGAGTTAAAAAGCTGAAAAAAATTAAAAAGATATACAGGCCAAATTATTGGTGCCTTAAGATGTCTGATTTGAGATGAAGTTTTGCTGAAAAATACAGCAAATGCCACAGACTCAATTTTACGTCTGCCTGCAGCAATAGGATCTCTCTCTCTCTCTCTTTTTTTTTTCTTTTTTTTTTTTTTTGAGACAGAGTTTCGCTCTATCACCCAGGCTGGAGTGCAATGGCACAATCTCAGTTCACTCCAACCTCTGCCTCCCGGGTTCAAGTGATTCTCCTGCCTCAGCCTTGGGAGTAGCTGGGATTACAGGCATCCGCCACCACACCCAGCTAATTTTTGTATTTTTAGTACAGAGGAGATTTTACTGTGTTGGCCAGGTGGGTCTTGAACTCCTGACCTCATGATCCACCCACCTCAGCCTCCCAAAGTGCTGGGATTACAAGCGTGAGCCACCGCACCCAGCCTAGGATCTCTTTACACACAAATACCACTCCACCTAGCTATAGGGTCAATTTCTATGTTATGGTGATACCTGGAGATGAAAGGCCTTGTCCCTGAGACTACTGAGTATTTTTTCTCACAAAAGTGACCTCTACAAACACATTAATACTGAGCACAACAAAATTAAGATATATTAACATAGCAGCCAAATAATTTAATATATTTCTTTCATTGGAAAGAACTTGAGGACTATTTGAGGCCAAGACAGGGTTTTCTCCTTACTACTTTAATACAGAAATGTAAAAAAGTTGTTCCATTTCAAACTAGGTTAAACTTCAGGATTGCTCATTATGGAAAACAAGCAATTTGCCTATAGACATGTATATTTTCTGATATAAAATGGATTTTCAGTGTTAATATACAATTGACTATCTAATGATATCATAGAACTAGCAGTTTATTTTCAGGAACCTAATGAAGTTTTAATATTATATTCCTAAAGGGTAGCAAACTGCTAAAATAGCTAAAATAAGCACAAATAAATCAAGTGAGTCATCAAAAGTCTTTAAGGAAGTTAATGATCAAACTTAAATAAAGCCCAAATTTTGGTGCACCAGCTTTGAAAATTACCAATAACATCACATTGTCCTGACACTAATGACAGAGTAGTATAGGTGATTTTTTCAAAATATTAATAACATGGTTATCATCTAAGGTTCTCTCCATATTTGTATCTGTCAAAATTTGGGAGTCATTTCAAATCCTGAAACAGCCAGGAAAATGAAACTGTACTTTCTTTCAGGCAAAGCCACAAGGCAGTGAGGATAAAACGAAGTAGATGGATCTGTTTTTGATTAGCCAATACTAGTTTTCACAGCTTGTCACTGCTTTGCTTTCTCAATGGATGTGTGTATACATGGTTGTGTACGAGTACGTTTGTACAAGTTCTATGCTTTGTACTTAATCTGATGCCATTAAGTCTCATTTGAGCTGGAAATGAAGAACATAATAAAAACCACACAAAGAAAATGTACGTGTTATTTTTATTCATTCAACTTTCTAAAACAGCTGTTAAGAAAGCACCAAGCCTGAGGCCTTACCCTGTCCGTTTGGTGATGGTCCCCAATGTCATTGGCTGCTTGATTTGTGCAAGAGGCATCACTACCATCAAGCTGGGGAGAGGAGAGAGCCGAGGGTTGCCGGGGTTGTTGTTGGTAAAATTGTTATATGAGTCTTGGCTGTTCAGTTTCCCTACAAAGAGAAAAATAAAGAAAAGCATTACCAAGGGAAGTTCCCTATCTCTGATAGCGTTTTCACTGACTCCAGCAATCATTTAAGAAAGGCATCAAAGGTAGAATTGATGCCAAGAGAATTATAATTACATGGATAAGAAGAAACCAAACTATTCTTGTAGAGCTGGATGACTCATGCCTGTAATCCCAGCACTTTGGGAGACCAAGGCAGGAGGATAGGTTGAGGCCAAGAGTTCGAGACCAGCCTGGGTAACATAGCAAGACCTCCATCTCTACAAAAAAAAATAAAAATTAGCTGAGCATGGTGGTACATAGCTGTAATCCTAGCTACTCAAAAGACTGAGGCAAGAGGATTACTTGAGTCCAGGTATTCAAAGTTACAGTGAGCTATGATCATACCCCTGCACTCCAAACCCAGGTGGCATAGAGAGAGACTGTCTCTAAACAAACAAAAAAGTAGTATTCTGGTAACATCAGTGTGACTTGATTATAAACACATTTCAGTCTTTGGGAATTAGGGCTGAGTTCCTTATCTTTCTAAAGACAGTTAAAGTGGTTTGTTGGCCTTCTTAGGTCCTTACATTCAACACAATCTACTATTTCCCTCATACCTTGTCAATTTCTAGATAAAAGCCAGCTGAGCTTTTGATAGGGATTACATTTAATCTGGAGATCCATTTGGTGAATACTGCCATTTTAACAATATTATGTGTACTAACACAAGAACTTAGGATGCCTTTCCTTTTACCTAGGTATTCTTAAATTTCTTCCAATGTTGTTTTGTAGTTTTCAGGTATAAGTTTTGTACTTCTTTGGTTAACATATTACTATTTCATTCTTTTTCATGTAATTTGTAAATAAAATTGCTTTCTTAATTTCATTTTTCAGATTATTCATTGCTAATGTATAGAAATACAGGTAACTTTTGTACATTGATCTTGTGTCCTACAACTTGGCTGAACTCATTTCGCAGTTCTAATAATTTCTTCTGGATTCCTGAGGATTTTCTACATACATAATTGCATCATCCTCAAAAAAGAGATAGCTTTACTTCTTCCTTTCCAGTTTAGATTCCCTTTTTTTTTTTTTTTTTGGCCTAACTGAGCTACCTAGTTGAGTTTCATTGTGTTCATTCTTTTTTTAATATAGATGTGTACTTGTTCCATCACCATTTGCTAAAAAGATTAACCTTTCTCCTTTAATTGCCTTTCCACGTTTGTCAAAAACCAACTGACTATATATGTGTGGGTCTATTTCTGGATTGATCTATGTGTTCCATTGATCTATGTGTATACCCTTTCACCAATACCACATTTTCTCGATTGCTATAGTTTTCTAGTGAAAAAAGAATTTTTTTTCTGTAATTATATATATTTTCTGTAAATTTGTTAATTAAATTTCTATTAATTGATGGATTTACAGAGAAACTTTATAAAAATTATCTGATTTTCTGTGTTACGGAATAAGTCAGTGCCTGTAATTCAACAATTCTTTCATGCAGAAAACTTCTTATTAATCTAATGTAATTTTATATTACTGGTCTTGACTGTTGATAAAAATTATCAACCCCATTTATGTGCTTAGCAATACATATGGTATTTTAAAAATGATAACTACAGAAAGCACACACATATACTTTTTTTTACTGATTTGAATTAAGGTGACAAGTTTATGTACACAACAAAATAATCCTCCAAAAAAAATCCTAATTAATATCTTATTTCTAAAACACACCCTAAAAAACTATTGCTTTAAAAATAGCATGGATTCAGAATAGAGGGAGAACTATCACACAGTAGCTAATGGTAGCCTGAGAGGTAGTGAAAAGTCAAAAGTCCCTTTCTAAAAAATCATAAGATGACAGTGGCTTCAGAATTAGATAACGGCTTAACCAAATGCTGTTCCTTCCTTGGACACAAATCTGTCTTTCTATATTACTCTACAGAATTATCAAGTTAAACTTTGATAAATGTGTCTTTTGTAAAATATGGAGAAAGATAAGAAATTCATGCAAATGAAATAAATCTTTCTCTATCTCTTCAATTTCTAATTCAGAATACACATTAAAGTTAACAGAAGCAATCTACACCTGTTGCAGGAATAGCAAAAGACAGCATTCACAATACATACAAGATGATTTAGGCTACAACAGAGAACCCTGTAGAAAACATGAAGGGAGAAATCCCATTACAATATTATATATGTAGAAGAATATGAGAAAACCTGCTTTATAGTTAAGCCATTCAAAGTAATGTATCATCACACTCTCAAGGCCAATATAGATGTAAATGATTACAAGATTGCTATTAGACAATTATGCTAATATTAATTTGAATTTGAAATCAGACTGCAGCTTTATGTCACAAGCTGCTGAAAATTAAGAATGTGTACATCATATATATTTCACAACTAGTAAACAAATATTTGTTGAGTGCCTTAGCCCATGATAACACTGTAAGGGATTGTTTTCCTTGTTATCGTCAAGTTACAGTCTAACAGGTACTAACAGGAATCATTAAGTGTTAATTGTCTAGAACTAAAGATAAGTAGATGTGGGAACAGCTTTATTTGGAAAAGGGCTCAAGGAAAAGGGCAAATGGGATATGATCTAGATTTTGAAAACTGGACAAAAGATGGATAAGGGTAGGAGAGAAGGAACATTCTGGGTGTGAAGGATAACACGAGGGGAGAACAGCATAAAGGGATGCCATTGTGTGAGAAGTAGTGAGGAATCTCTAACTATTGCAGAGGAGAGATAATAGAAAGCAGTGGAAGATAAAATATTTCAGTTTTTGGAGGACCTCTCAATTGAGCCAGAGGAGTAGGAACTTAGGTTAAGTTCTTCAGCAAGGGAACAGTATAGATGTTGAAGTCATTGAATTTGACAGATAAAAGGAGTGGTCTAGGAAAATGAAGTGATCCATTGAGAAGTTCCAAATCTGTGGTTTAGCTAGGCATGACTTAAAATGCTTCACTGAGGATAAAGGACATCCTCAGAATAGCATACAAAGAACTTCAGACATAGCCTTCTCAACCTGCTCCTGTGTTTATGCTGTAGAGTCCGTTTGAAACTAGCACATCTGACAGAGTAAAGTTAAGTTGTGTAGGTTTTACATTCATGTTTATGTTTGTAGAGGTGGTATCTGTCTCACATATTAATGGATATGGCTAGCAACTTAAAAGCACAGCTTTAATGAAACAATAGGTATCTTAATAAAATGGTGAATAAAGCCAAGGTCTGGCTAACACCATTTTCAGCCTTAGCCCACCTGCACCCAGGTGAATAATAAATAAATCAATCAAATAAAAAACAAAACAAAAAGCCAAGGTCCAAGAAGACAAAATCAGAGAAAAAGGTACTGACTCTAATAGTCTTCAATAGGGTTGTTTCAGTAGTGAGGTGGAAAAGTCAGATAGTAAGGAATAAGCAAAGAAACTGCTGATAGGAAAAATCAAGGTCACAGATACAGATCCAAGATTTACAGACTGACACTGAAAAGAAGACATTAACAAAGATGACATATAGCACCAAGCAAAAGTTTCATTCAGCCTTTGCTCTTTCACTTCACATTTTTGGAGGCTTATTGATATCAGGCCCTGTTCTAGATTCTGAAGGAGTAAGCCCAAGGGACTTCAAAGAGTTCATAATATAATGGTACAGAAAGACACATTAACAAAAAATGAAAAATGTGAGAAAAACATGCTAATAATTGCAGCTGAAAAATGACTCAGGAGCAAAAAGGAAGGAGTCACTTTTATCATTTTAAAGGACAACTTAAAAAGGGAGAAAAAGTATACAAATTTTGAGCATAAGGGAAGGAATCTGTATCTTCTTATATTGTTTTTCTTGTAGAAAATAAAAGAGGAGAGACATATAAATAATATGAGAAGTTAGTAAAATGAAAGCGCTAGCTTAGACAAGAAATCTCAATAGCTGACGCAGACATGTAAATAATACATATTAAAGAAATAAATGAAATAAATATACAAAGCAGCTTACCAATCCTTTCTTCACAAACCTATTGCTAAAATCTTTGGTTATAAATGATTTTACACTATTTATTCTGTCTTAGATTTTCTTTGAAAATACAGCTAGAATATAACCTCTAGATTTCTCCTCCACAATACTGGAGACTCCATCAAGCTGCCTGGACTCCTGAGGACAGTGACTTACTAGTCATTAATAGCTAATAACTCAATAAATGTTTGCTGAATGAATGAAAGAAATATATTTATTTCCATATCCAGGAGGCAGAGAAAAATACAGCTCTATGATCTATAGAAAAAATAATTCTGAAAGGGACTCAGTACTTCAGAAGGTTGCCAGATGACTGGAGTCTGCGGCTTTCAGTATTCTGCTCAGTCTCGTGTTCACTGGCCCAGGAGGTCAGGCATGATAACTTTAAAAATAGATCTTTAGACATTTCCATGTGGCTATATCAAGCCTACATTTTCAAGCCAGAATTCTTCATTAAAGAAGTTTAGCAGGAAGAAAACTGTAGTGTCTGCCTTGGACCTAGATGAAGTCTGTTGCTATTCTTTTTCTTTGCTCCACTTCTCAGAAATACATAAGATACAAATAATATTTCTAAGATCTATGAGGAGGTATCACCTTTATTAACGTTTCTTTACTATACTCTTCTATTTTTTCCTTTATTGTAAGAGTACAGTGAAAAAGAACAGAGATTATTTAATTGCAGTTTTGGTAGTGGACTGCACAAAGTCTTGAGATACATAAAATATTTCACACACCATTATACTTTCAAATTCCAGCTAAGACGAGACCTGTAAGTGACAAATGCCATGAGAATGAATATTCTCACAGTATTTCTGGCACAAGCAGACAGAGGAAGTCCCAAAAATCTCATGAGAAAATAAGCTCATCTAAGACTCTCATCCCAGTTTTTTGGGCTTACTCTATATAGATAAACTTGCATAAGCCTCAGGCTTTTGGGTCTTTATCCAAATCCACTAGAGCTTTGATCCTTTAGAGGTTTA